ATTTATTTTAGGCTTAGGTTTTTTCAATTATTTTAGCGGGCAAATTTGCCCGCTAAACCCAGACGGTTTAAGGGATAAGTTAATAATACAACAATTATTTCCTTAACATTAGCTCTGAGATTTAGAATAGAGCAGCGGGAAATAATAATAATGTTAACAAATTACTTACATATGTATAATATTTAATTAAACTTTTAACAAAATGTTAAAAAGAAAAATCTTAACACTATAACAATAAATTTATTTAAATATTTAGATAAGGTTATTTTACATGAATAATATTAATACATAGATAGCGCTAATAAGCGAAAACAGATTTCATGCTTTGAATTTTCAGGACTGAATTCATTTATTATAGGTTCAAAAGCCTGAATTCTAGTTTTTTTTAATAATACTCGAATACAAACAAAAGGCTATCACTTTGTTTATTGCTTTGTATATTATAAGCCACATGCTGTGCTTAATAGCCATATGCAAAATATTTTAATTTACCAACATGGCTCAGTCTTTCTAAAGTCTTAGAGGATTTGATCTTTGCTGTGTTTGACTTTCTCCAGGGGTTTTAGTTTTACCAGGGGTTTTGCCAGAGTTTCGCCGTTTTGCCATAGTTTCGCCGTTTCGCCAGAGTTTTGCCAGTTTTGACTTTTGCCATTTGCCAAAAATAGCTTTGCCTAACAACAGTAGTTCCGCCAGGATTTCGCCATTTAACCAGAGTTTCTCCGTTTCGCCAGAATTTCGCCAGTTTCGTCATTAGCCATTTGCCAAAAATGGTTTTGCCTAACAACAATACTCTTTACAAATATTTCGCCGACGGCCATTGTTTTAATTGTTGGTTTACTAACAGACTCGCCTAGTCTTACTATTAAAAGTTGGTATAAACCAAATAAATATAAAAACTACTGAGTTACTCCAGATCAATGTTTGACAATTTTAGACGGAATTATAAAATAATATCAGAAAGGATCGATAATTTTGACCGGAATTATAACTCATTAGTTTTTATATTTATTAGCCGTGCAGATCAGCCGACATGATAGTTAGTATTGCCTAGAGATTGTCGGCGAAATCGCTGTCAAGAAAATAGTTGTCGGTGAAGTGAAGTCAGTGAAGTAGGTTTTCAGTGAAATGGATTGTCAGTAAAATTAGATGTCGGGAAAATGGGCTGTCGGCTAAATGGTATCGGATACGTATCACTTCACCGACGGTCATTTCGTAGACATAACATTTCACCGACAAAAATTCACCGACAATTATTTCACCGACAAGTTTATTTCACCGACAAGTTTATTTCACCGACAGTTTATTTCACCGAAGCTCATTTCAAATACAAACTTTTTTTATAAATCCCACCAACCTTAACTCTAATTCTAACCTGACCTTAGCGACAATGACCAGAATTATTTTGTCGGTGAAATGAGCTTCGGTGAAATGAACTTGTCGGTGAATTTTTGTCGGTGAAATGTTATGTCTACGAAATGACCGTTGGTGAAGCGAGCTGAACCGATGGTATCAGCTAACTGGGCAATCGACGAAATTGTTGACAGCGTACGATAAGGCCAGACCAAGTTGATTCTCTGTTTTACATTACCCCCTCCCTCATAGTAAAAAAATTTTGATAAATATATATAGGACTTCGGGCTATTTCGGAAAATTTTTATATAGTCACGGAACAATTCGGAAAAATTTTTTTTGAAAAATTTTTTTTAAAATTTTACTATGTAAACCACCCTCCGGAGAGGAGAGGGGGGTAATGTAAAACAGAGAATCAACTTGGTCTGGCCTAATATTGTAACGAATTAAAATTTTAGTTTCTTTTTATTTTTGTTCTAAACTTATATTTAGTCGGTACGCACATTACTTAGTTGTATTGCACCATCCATTTTGGTAACGGGTGACGGTCAAAATCCCAACAAGCACAATCCCGACTAGAGATTGGCAAAGTCAGTTACATATTATTACTTAATATTGCTTAATATTACCTGCAATAGGTATTATTAAGTAATTTTACAATAATTTTATTATTAATAACACCTCGTTCAATCTCAATTTTGATCACCTGTCTTCGACTTTTATCATGTGTTTTATATGTATACGTTAATTAATATTAAGTAAGGGATAAGTCATAGGTCATTATTACTTACAAAATTACTTTGCCCATCTCTACTCATTATGCTTCAATTTATTAAAATTATTATATATATTTATATAATATATATTAGAAGTTGATAGCAATCTAAATAATTTAGAGTTCCGAATCACAAGATTTTAACTAATGACTCAATCTGATTAGAACCATGGCAAGAAAGGTTCTTTAAGATGAAGGTAGCAATATAATAATTTGTAAAAAAAGTTATTGATTTTGTTTCTAGCCTTAATAATAGTACTCGACGCAATTTGATATATTTTGAGTATTAAGTATATGCTTGATTGTGCCAAGCACTATTTAGTAACAATATATGGGCTGCCGTCAATAGAAATAAGGCAAATTGACATTTTAAAAAAATTTAAAGCCTTAATTTTACAGCTCATATCACGATGAAATTTAAAGCTATAGTATAAACTTATATTCAAAAGAAAGCTTAGATCTTACGCTTTCTTTTGAATATAAATCTATTAATATAGCTTTGAAATTCATTGAGATATGAGCTGTGAAAGTTAAGACTTTAAATTTTTTTAAAATGTTAATTTGCTTTATTTCTATTGATAGCAGTCCATATTTCTAATTTTATATTTATATAACATAGTGATTATTTGATTAATTGGTTTGTCTTTAATTAAAAACTTTAGATTAACTAAACTTTTATAAGATAGTAATGCTGTGCGTCAAACTAATATCTGCGTCAAATAAAATCACCATAATCCCGCTAATATCTATAACTTATTCTAACATAATGTTTCACCTTAACCATAATGAGACTCAGTATTTAAAGTTTGATCTGACGCAAATTTAATTTGACGCACAACATATATAATTAAAAGGTAATAACGGGAAAAGCATAATAAATAATAATGGATTCTCAAGATAATTAAAAGTTAGAATTGAGCCCATTAAGGAATAGCAATGAAGAGTCGTTATAAACAGTTAAACCTGACTTTATTTGATGGGAATATAAATATTATACATCTTGTTTCTTAAGGCATATACTCGAGTCTTTTCCATATTGAATGTTCATTTTCCAGTAGAAGGTGCAATTGTCACGTACTTTTTTGATAATGTTAATGGCGGGCCAACGCCAAGTTTAGAATTTTTTAATATAAACCATAATAAATAATTATGCCACGCATTTCTGGAAAATGTATCAACGATTTACAATTATTTAATAATGCAATATCAGATATGGTAGATTATGCCTACAGATAGCAAGATTAGGATTAGGACCATACTTCATGTTAACGCGTTAAGATTAGTTAGTGTATATGTTTATATGAATAATTCTAGTGCTAGCCTAAAGACTCTAACCAACTATTATACGCGTAAGTACATTAATCTGACTATACTACCTTACATAGAACTCCTTTGAATTAACTTATTTCGAAAATAAGTAAGAGTTTAAAGATCTTAATTCTATCTTAAAATTTCGAGTCAATAAATTAAATAACCGTAGCTGGTGATAGAATTAACACCTTTGGACAAATATCTCCAGTAAGCGATTATGTAAACAAGTAAGTACATATCTGATATTATAAAAAAAATAGAATTTACTCGTCACAAATTTTGGAATAAATATGTTACTTATCAGTTATTTTATTTGAAATCGGACGTCGAATCATTAATTCTGAAACCTCATTTCAGTATTTTTGTATCAAAATTTTGAAATCAGAAAATGAAATGTTGTGTGTGGAGACTCCCATTCAACGAAGTAAACTTTTCAACTCCAAAGATTATCATTTCAAATTTATCAGAAAACGAAATAAAGACTATACATTGTTCATTTGAGAATGAATACGCTGTCAAAATTAGATTCCCCACTTTAATTTTGAAACCCCTATTGGATTTATTATGAGCTCAAACAGTGATTAATGGAACAAATAGGGGTTTCAAAGTTAACAAATGAGTGGTGCATTTTGAAATTAAATGAGAGCTTGAAAAATCTTATTTGTATTTCAATATCTTAAAATCTGAAAATGGAATGGGAGTGTCTGGAGATTCCCATTTAATGAAATAAATAGACTTTTCAACGACAAAAATCATCATTTCAAATTTATCTGAAAATGAAATAAAATAAATCTGTAACCAATTTCAATTAAAATTAGATTTCCGCATTTTAACTTTGAAACTGTGACGTCCAGTGGGAGAGTCTTTCTTCTATCAAAACCAATTTAACTCAGGGCCGTCAACATTAAAAAAGAATAAAGCAACTATTTATTGTCTCTTTCCAAGTACCAAAAGTGATAAACCAACATCTTTTAGGATCTTCAAGCACTCTTCCTTTTTCCGAGGTCGGGCGCTTCAGGTTAAACAATTGCCATAAACCTAAAAAGTAAAGACGAAAAGCTAAACATGCCATCAAGGACTGTGGCCCTTGGGTCAAAGAAACGTAAAAGACAAGAAGACAATCAATTAATAAATAGCAACAGAAAAATGAAAAAATTGCAACAAACAGAAACCAAGACTCCTTCTGGAGAGAAAGAAAACTCTACTTTACCTCTAGCGCAGTCAAATATATTTGCTGCTAACATACAAGCTGAGATGTCTCAAAGACAAACATCTAACAATAATCCTAATGAAAATTGGGCAGACGAAATTGAAGAAGTAATTGAAACACAGCCTAGTACATCTGTTATGAAGAGTATTAGTGAACTGGAAAATTCTTTGGGTATTACTCATGAAAAAATTTAGATAGGGGAAATGAGCCTGCAGTTGAAAATACAGAGAATTGGGTCTTGGATGACCCAGATCAAATGCAATCTCGTACAGATCTTTTACATATGGAAACATATGATACTGACACAAATTCAGTAACTTATTACACAAGCCCTATTTCAAGTTTCTCAACAAATAAAGACAACCCATACAGAAATAAAGACTCTCCTAATAGTGAGTTAAGGGGGGTATAATCAAAAAAATCTTGAACAAGCTTATTTGCCAAATTAACACGAGGCCCATCAACATACTCTACATATTCAGCATGTGATCAAATTAGTACCAAAAATAATAAAGCCGTAATCTTTGAAATTTGTGCTCTTAATGATTTATTTATGAGTAACATTGTATTATCACTAAATAGAAGAATTGGCAAAGATATTCTTGAAATAAAACCTCATTTTACAAGGTGAATATAAATGCATTTAGAAATTATTTTCAAATTTATTGAAAATGTACAGAAATACAGTACAGAAGGAATTAGCTTGTTTAGTTGAACCTTCTTAGGCTATATTCCTACTAACAGAAGGAGTTCTTTTCTATCAGTTAAACTCAAGAATATTCCAATTGATTTTCAAGAGGATATTACAAAAGAAATTAAAAATACATTAGAACATGTAGGCAAAATTTCATCAATAAAACCTCTAGTATTCGAAGGCACTTCAATATTAAGTAACCAATGGGTAGTGATTTTTGATATCTCTGATGATCCAGATATACCTAAACAGATGCCAAGGTTTATAATAATAATGAATCAAAAAGTTACTACTGAATGGAGAGAGGCACCCAAACTCTGTTTTTTTTGTGATGCTGAAGGCCATATCAAGAAAAAATGTCAGCAATATAAGAAAGCACAAAAAATTAAAACAGCATACCAATCGTATAAAAGAAACAAAACAAGTTCATTTGAAAACTCAGTACTATATAACCATATAGATACCAACAATGTCAATCTTACAAAAATCAAACAGTTGACAGAATACAATGATACAGATGAACAAAGTCAATCTACTCAAAAGAAAACTATTGTAACTCAAACAGAATCGATAATACAAAACAATATGCTTGATAGCCAACAGGAAGAATTATCTGATTTTGATATTAATAAGACAGATAATCACATGGCAGACCTTGAAACTCTGTTACGAGAAGAGAAAACTATGAAAATTTAAATACAACAAATAACAATACTACTAATATGGATACAGATGATGCTTATCAAGAGTTACTATTTACACTAGTTAATAATAAAAGAAAAAATAAAAAAAGTAACAGCAATATTATTCGCAACAATAATCAACCTATTACTTACACATATTGGAGCAAAATTCCAGGCAAAAATTACTTTAAGTAATATTTTTTGAATATTTAAATAACATGGTAAATCAGAAAATTAAAATTGCAACTCTTAATATAAAAGGACTTAATAATATATCTAAAAGGCAGCAAACTTTTATATTATTAAAATCTTATAAATGTGACATTATACTTATTCAAGAGACAAATTTCACAAATGAAGAAACATGTGATTTTATCAAACAACAATAGAATTATGATTCTATTTGAACAGATAAAGTAGCAATCGTGTCGAGAAATAAATATATAAAATTTACCAATTTCAAAATATTACAAGATGGCAGAATTCTTATAACTCAATGTAAAATTAAACAAAGAACATTTAATATAACCAACATTTACGCCTCTCTTATATATAAGAAAGACTACAGTTTTTTAATAACTGGCACAGGTCGAATGAAGATATATCAGCAGATAAAATTCCGGATAACAATCAGAGACATATTGGGTTCATATAGAAATTTGAAATTTTGAGCTTAATCAGAGACCTATCAGCATGCCAATATTAAAATAATATTGTTTGTATATTATACCAATTTTTTTAATAAACTACAGAAGGAATAGATCTAATATCAGTATAATCGATATTTATTTGTTATTAATTCGATATTAATCAAAATCTTCTAATTAATCTAAGAATAGTTCAGTATAATATCAGAATTCTGATATTTATTTGAAATTATTTTGAAATAACATCGATATTTATTTATATAAATGCTAATTTAAAATTGATCCGATTTTTGTATTAACTACTATAACTAGAAATAGCATTATGCAGCATGGTGCTTAATCATCACATAAAATAAATTAACGATGTGATTTTCATAATTTTAATCATATAACAATTAAGCACAACGTTTTCAGAATATTGGCAATTCTGATATTACTACTAAATTCATATAAAATATTCAAATTAGGTTTAATAGTAATAGCCAATATTTTTCTTTTTTAAAAATATCAAGAACATGATATAGCTATTAGTTAATCTACAATGCTGTAAACTTGTTGTGTTTAATTTATTAGATATATAAAAATTTTAATATATAAAATATCATGCATCACAAAAGTTATATAAAATTATTATTATATATAAAATTTTCTATTAACAGGTATTACTGACATATATTCTATCAGGTTTTTCTTTCCAACTTTAACAGTACTAGAAATAAATCACCTAAAATATTGTGAATAGAAATTATACAATCCCTACTTATATTATCAAAGTACTGATTCCACAATTCAATATTATGAATATTATCCACTTGGCAATAATACCTAATTTTATAGTTATCAACAGGTTTAAACCAATGTACAAATGCCAATACATGCTTTTTTGGTCCTTCTGGTAGCTGTACCACATGCTTAAAATAGAATTAAACCATTCCAGAATATATGTCAGTAAATCCATTGTCTAATATAAATTTGGCTAGAATTTTTGCTAACCTTTTTTGCTTTGCTACAAATGTTGAACCAAAAATTTCATCACCAATTTTTACTTTTCCAAATTCAGGTACTCTAGGCAAAACTGGTATAGATTCTGATCTTCTGATATTTCTATCTTTAATGACTTGAAACTATAATTATATGCATTATTATAATATTCAGTTAATATATCTATATTTCTTTTGAAAAGATCTTTCGAGCATTTTTAAGACCTAATATTTCTTCTGGAAAAGGTTCAACACCAGTTTCTGAGCTTTTTTTAATGTTTCTAGACATTAATAGAAACTCGCGACCGTCATTTCATTTTGTATAGAAAGACTGCCTTTTGTAGTTCTTTGCTTAATAAACTGTAAACATGTATGGAAATGACCTTCTGCTTGTTTTGTAAGTTCTTCCAATAGTGAATAAGATTGAATAGTTTTAAATAATTCAATTTCAATTTTTCTATTACTATTATAAAACAAACCTATTAACATATAAAAATTATTTTTATAAGCTATTGGCATTTTAATATAGCAATTAATAAATTTTATAAGTGTCAAGCTTATCTAATAAACCATTCATTCTTTTATAACTAAAACACCAAAATGCATACATTGGTCTGTAGTTATTTATATATTCACAAATATGCAAATATAAATGTAAATTAGGCATTATTTTTTTTAACCATATTTTTTTCAATAAGCTTCACCATATCTAAAAAACACTGATGAGCTTCTTCTAACTTGTCTTTAAATAAAATTTGGCATACCAAAATTGAACATACTCTAACAAAATAGGTTAAAATTCTTTGGTCATCCTCTTTTAGTAAATTCCAAGTAATCAAAGTTGCATAGATTAATATTAACATCTTCCATTGGTCTGCCATGAAACCAGAGAAACCATCTCCCATAGCAATCTTGTTTGGAATTCTACCAAGATCTGATATAACTTCCATTTTTTTTGCCTGTTGTTCCATTAGTGTTAAATCTTGAAAAGATAAAATGCCTTCTTCAATCTATAGTTTCATAATCTATTTAGTGATGTCTAAAAATAGGCAATGCATTAGATCTATTATGGTAAACTGAGAAGAGTTAAAGTATAGGAAATGGTATATTTCAGACCACTGAACAAATGCTTTAGAAGTATGTTTTTTCTGTACATCTTCTGTATAGCAATTCTCTATGAAATTGCATCTTGACAAATTACATCGATATTTCTCTCAACAAATCATTCACTCATATAGGTAAATCCACCAAAGTTCAGCTGATTTCTGTCATCAAAATTAGCTCTCTTCATGCATCTGTGACAAGCAATTTGAGTCAATATAAAGCCACACAATCAGGTATATCACAAAAACAACAAATTACTGCAACTCTGATAAATTTACAGATAGAGCTTTCGAAAGTTCTTTCTAGTTCGATCACTAATTATATGATAATTAATATATAAATAAAAAGATAATTAAGCAAATATTACAATTGCTTATACGTACCATCCCACAAACCAATCAATTGATCTATTATGGGTACTAGACAATGATTTAATTGATGCAATTTAGGTTTATTTGTACCTGTTATTAATGCTAAAGTAAATATATTTGATGGCTTGAATTGCTCATTATATGAAAGGTTGCAAATTATACTATAAATTGCACTGATGCTATATTGAGAGTTATGAAATAGTTGAAACCAATCAAGGTTAATCATTAAGCCCAAATGATTATCTGATAGCTCTTTATGGAAGAATGGTAAATCTTCTTTTGGATCTTGAAAAGTTTTCCAGATTCTTTCATCATATATATCAAATAGTTGTTCAGAGTAGTCATATCTATCAGCCCATTTTCTACAAGATTCTTCAAATCCTTTCTTATTAAATAATGACTGCAATTGATGACTTAAGAAGGCTATTGGATAGATTGATGATGGTTTGTATATATCACCTTTTGATGTTGAAATTTTTTTAACAATTGGATAATTGCATAAAATCTTTGATTGGCTATTGGATAGTTAGAAAATTCTTTATAAATACAATGATTTATTTTAGGAACTAAATTTGGTTTGTTAGGAGATAGGTTAGCAACATTATACAATTTACAACATTTTTCATATATTGCATATTTTATCATATAAGTGCAGACACCAAGAGCATTGTATGCTTTACTCAACAATGTAGGGAAAAGAGAACATGTATTCACATCAAAATGGTTCAAAAGATACCGAATTAGTTTCATAAATGAATTAGAAGCTATATCAGACAACTAATATCTTTTCTGGTGTTTAAGAATTCATAGAGTGACCCCATAAAATTATTATTGATATCTATAGATTCTTTTTAATTAATGTTTCAAACATTATTGCCAGTGCATTAAAATCTATCTCTTGATTGGATAAATCTTCAACTTCTTTTTTCAAGAATAAAATATCGGCAATTTCAATAGGTAATGCGGTACTGATCCTTCTTTCAATTGGTTTTTTGCCTTGTTTTTTAGTAATGAAACTATAATTCTCAGAGCATGTAGATATTACAAAATCATTATTGGAACTATCGATCTGCATAGGTTCATCTGAAACATTAACTTAGGAAAGTCTATTTCAGGAAGATCCTTAATAACATTTGGAGCAGTAATAGGATTTGTTCTGCTTGTTGTAGGTTCAACAATGTTATTGGTTTGTC